CTTTCATGAATCAGCCCCTCAGATTGCTGTGACCTCTTAGAGTATCAGACACTGTTCTAGCACACAGGAATGAAGGACTGCTGGAACTTGTAAAGGACTTAGGTGGGAAATAATCAGGCTCTGGACTATCTCAGCTCGCTCTAGTAAAATTAGTAAAAGCCAACACTTGTCACAACATTAACCAAGGCACACTGAACACAGAGCCCTGCTTTTTCTTTATTACCTGAACTGTCCCTGTTTAATCCCTAGATCAGCAGCATCCTACAGGAAGCTGAAGAAGTTCAGGGGAAAAAAAAAATGACACAAAATCAGGTGTGGAAAGAGAATTGGGTAAAAAGGTGTTGCTCACTGTTGATATGACTCAGAGAGGATCTCCTGGCAAAAAGAGGACTCCACCTTGCCCTGGGATTTTGAGCCCCACATTGCCAGAGAAGGAACCTGGATTTAGGAATGCTGAGTGTGGTTGGAAGGAGGGAAGATGACAGTGGGTAGGACATGGGGGTCCAAACCAATGAAGTGCTAAGTCAAGAAGAGCAATCACAAGGCATTTTGTCTCCTCCCCTGGACTGGACACCTGAGGTACCAGCACCCTGGAGGTGCTCTGGGGTAAGAACCCATCCACTCAAAATGAAAGCCCATGAATTTTAAATAGAAAACAATTGTGTCTAGAATATGATTTCCTCTGTTCTAGCAAGAAGTTAAGCAGGAAGTGAAAGCTGAAGATGTGATTCAGTTCTGCACAGCACAGCTGAGGACCAAGGCAGCACCTATTCAGGTAGAAGCAGGTGGTAGGAAAGAAATGTGCAGCATCTGCACCTCATGTCATCTGCACATACTCAAGGGCAGCCCCCAGAGAGGGTGGTCTGTATGGAATAAACAGAAATGCTGGAGCATCATAAGCCAGTGACAAGAAGATGGGAGTCAGAGGAATTGAATTCAGCAAGTCTGATTTATCCCACCACTGCCCTCCCACTATTTCGAGCCCCCTTCTCACAAGCACAACACACCAGAGCCCCTCAGGTGTTTGATTTGCAGGGTTGCCATCTACTGCAAGGTTACACCAGGGCAGCTCAAGAGGCAGAGCAACCCTGCAATTCACCTGTAATGAGTCCTCCCATATCTCTCACCTCCTTTCCTTTCCTGGCGTGTGCCCTTGTTCTACACACTTGTGCTTACCAGGGTCTGCTCTGGTGACATCCCTTGGCTCTTTCTGAAGACAGACACTCTGTCTGCATTTCCATGGACTCCCTGCCATCCCCTCCCTTTGATGCCTCCTCAGTTTCCACTTGCACAAGTCTCTGAGCTGGAGGATTCATCCACGAGGACAAACCCCTGGTCTGAGCACTGACCTCTCTGAACGCTCCGTGCTCAGGAACTGGCCCACAGTTCTCACCCTGGCTCTGCCTCACACCTGCTGAGCCACTTCTGGGCAGGTCACTTCTCCCCTCTGGCTTTCTTGGTCTCCCCATCTGTAGAAAAGGGCCAGCCTCATTATCCCCCCCAAGCATAAAACATCCTGAGATCTCTGGAAGACAAACTGCACCACGAGCCAGGCACTGCTATTCTTGGAGCTCTGGGGTGGCACAGACACAAAAGCAACATAAATCCAAGGGCAAGGAGAGCAGACAGAGCAATAAAGCAATAAAGCACAAAAATGAAGAGAGAAGGGGGAAAAAATCTAGTGAAAACCAGAGTACAGCACTGGGATATTACTCTCATGGCCTAAGTATCTGTGGAAGGATAACACTATTTTGAAGCAGTTTTACAAATCCAGTTGTCCACCTTCTCAGTCTTTGTGTTCCTAGAGGTCTGGAGTTCTGTAGCTGCTCCTACCTGACTCCACTCATGGAAGAGGCTTTTTGTATGGTCTGGTTTATAAAGATATTGACTGCCTACAGCTCAAGGAGGCAAGGAGATGCTCTACCACCTCCTGAGATCACTCAGGATTATCCAGTCAAAGAAGCTTGGACTGCAGACCTGAAGGCCAGTGAACCAATCCAACATTTCTGTAACTGCATGTGCAGTGCTCTAAAAAGGAAGATCAGCCCAGAATTACAGCATCATCCAGAGCTAAGGGAGGCTGGAACCAGCACATTTTATGTGTGTTACTCTACAGTGCTCCTGAGCAAGCAGCAGTTGTGCTCCATCTGTCAGTGTGACCTCTGCTGTCACGGGATCCTTGCTGCACACACTACCACCTCCTGCTCCCTTCCAGCAGGGATGAGCCTGGAGTGTCCCTCCAACCAGTTTTCATTACATCTCTCGGGCAAAGAGACACTCCTACCTGGGGATTGATGTAAAAGAAGACAAAAATTCAAATTGTGTCTTTGCAATTCCCAAGGAACCAGTCTCCTTTGCTCCCCAGAAAGCATTGGGAGCTCAGAGTGTGTGGATTGGCTTTTGAATGTTTGGAGGGACAGAGGTACCAGACTGGCTGTACCTGCAAAGAATGTAGTATGGGATGAACACCTGAGGCTCAAACACTACCTTTGGGGATTTCCTTCCCCCTTGCTGTTTGACTTTTCAGAACCATCTCCTCCTAAAAAAATGTGTGAGACTTTGTTTCTCTGTTAAAAAGATTTTTTAAATTGTTTATTTTAAAGCCTGTCTGATGAGTGATATGAACTGCCAGCAAATACTACATTTCACTCCCCCTCATTAACATTGTAAATTAATTTAGGACTCATTTAGATGCAGGATTAACAACCTGAGGACTCACCCACTCTTTATTCAGAGGGCACACTCAGCATGAGCAGTGTCTCATCTCACATCACTCAGTTAGTTCAGCAGGACCATCTCTGGGGAAGCAAAGGATATTTGTGTCCCTGCTTGCAGAGGAGCTGCTCAAGGTTAAGGCAGAGGTGTGGGAGACACCAGTCCTGGCCCCAGCTCTGCTGCAGGTCCCTCTGCCCCCCCGGGCAGGTGATTTTACCCTCTGCACCCATCTGCCCTGAGTTGCACTTGCAGAGAGGTCAGACTTGGAGAACAGAGCAAGGATTAAAAGCAGTGTTTGTGGTGGTGCAGGGCAGCATCTTTTATTTCTCCAGGGCTAAAGGTACCTGGGCCATGGGCCAGCTGCCAACACAGGAATTTGCTAAGCTGAACTAATACATTTAATACATTTTCAGCCATGTGCCCCTACCCTGACTCTTATGTGAGATGGTGCTTTATTTTGGGAGCACTCTTTTCCTCTGATGGCACAGTGATTAGGGCATTATTATCTATTTTGCACGAGCAAAGTCAAGCCCTCAGTTTTCAACTCATAAAAATAACAAAACCACTCACCAAGAGAAAATACTGCTTTTCTTAAAGCAACAATTACCAGTCAGAAAACTCCTGACACACTCAAGAGCAATCCTGCAATGCCTCAGTGATGCTGTTTTCAGCTGCCCTGTGTGTTTGCTACAGAAATAAATAACATTTCTCGCAATTAACAAATGAATGCCCTGTTGAAGCTCAGCTTTTACTTGCTGTCCATAAATCATCTGCAAAAGCATTCCATCCACTGAGGGGAATGAAGATTAAATACACTCTTTGGCAAGTGTCCTTTCACCACCAGAATATTTCCTTGCAGGCGCTTTGTGTCTAACGCTACACTGAGGACCTGCTCCTCTGAGCACCATAAATAAACACAAATCACTGCTGTAGAAAGGAGCCTGACAGACAAGCAGTGCCACTCTGGGCATAACTGATTGATGCTCCTTATAATCAGTGACACTTGTGGAGCTCAGCCTGGCCTGGCCACGTGCTGCTCACACCAGCTCAGCGGAGCTCGGCCCACGGGGGCAGCACCTGGGAGGGTTTCACACAAACTGGGATTAGTTGGCTGTGTCACAACATCACCAAGAAGCTGCAGCCACAGATGAGGGCCCTGCTGTGCCACGGAGGAGATGCTGCAGAGCTTCACCTGGTTAGAAATCAAAGACCAATTGATGGGGCTCTGGGACATTCTCACCTCTGGTGTGATCGATCTTAAGGAATGATTTTATACGGTCCAGTGTTTGCCACAGGTCCACAGACAAGCTCCTGACAGGAATTTGGTATGCACTGGGATAGCATGGGCACACGTGTCTCTCTGGCACACTGTTCAGAGCCACCTGAACTCTCCTTTTTTCAGAGATGTGATTGTTGCAGAGTGGTTCCCTCAGACAGACAACAGTGACAAGACAACCCCAGCACCACAAATCTGTGACCCAGCTAAGAGTTGTGCAGGAGGTTTCCAAACTGGGCTGTTTCCTTACAACACTGCATTTCCTCTCTGGCTACTCCTTTCAGCTCTCCATGAGGATCCAGTGCCATCACATCCAGCACATCCAGACACTCTGAGCCACTCCAGGACCAGAGGCCAGACCAGCTGGGTGTGTGCTGGGGCTGTGCAGCTCTGCCTGCAGGGCTCTGTGACATTAAAATCAAATCCCTGGACATCACAACTGCAATAATCCTTCCTCAACCACCACCAGAGGCACGTCTGAAGGTAACAGCACCCCAGGGCAGTTGTTGATCCCTGAGTTCCCATGGATGCAATGGCTGTCAGCCCTGCCTGCAGCTTTCAGCCTCAGGCACTTGTCCTGAGGAGTTTTACATTTTCAGGCCACTGCCCATTCAGCAGATTCTCTGGAGAGCACGTGAAGGGCACCATATATCACACTTATTACCCACCTGAAGAAGTGAGAACAACAGGATCCTGCTGTTGGTTTATCATTTCTAGGGGAAGCAGCCATCTCCTCCTTGAATTTACTTGTTAAATAATATCATTAGGTTTGTTTGCTTTTGGCCCATTCTACACTCAAGCCATTCTGAGCCCTGACCTCCTGCCCAGCAGCAAATCAAAGCCAAAAAACCCCTCATGTTCATCCACCTTCCTAGTAAGGGTGTATTTATTCACCTTCCTAGGAAGAGTAAATTCCACAACCAGTGTGCCCAAGGACACAAGTAAGAAATCCATTAACACCCATTGGAGAAGAAGAAGGTTCCAAAAACCAAGGAGAGGACACTCTTACCTGTCTGTAACAAACCAGCCCCGCTGTCCTTGACTCCAAAGTGCTGCTGGATGTCCAGTAACACACCTGGAAGGAAAACAGAGAGCTTTAAATACCAGTATTTCAGAGAGATTACTTCTAAAGCTTGCATATTGGCTTCTTTCTTAGACATGCACACTCAGTAATCTTGGGCTGCTACAAGAAAAACAGAGGTAGGCAGGTATAAGATCATATATTGAGTTTGGGAATTAAATCCTCATGAATGAGAAACTGGCCTTGCCTTTCTACTTAAGTAAGAGCAGGGTTTTCTTCTTGTGTGTTTTCTGCAGAATCCAGACCCACTGCTTGTTATTTTACAGAAATACAGGGAAACCGATTCTGCCCCTTCAAATGGTCTGACAAGACAGACAGATTGAATCCCAGACAAGTTTTAGCACATCTCTGTTGGAAGGAGATATGACACACTGATAGGAGCAATGATGGGAGCTTTCACATTTAACCAGTTCTGGGGAGCTCTTACTTTCAAAACCAAGGTAGCAAATAGATTTGAAAGAGCTCAGTCAGAGTGACCAAATGTTTAACTTTGAAGCAGCTCCACAGAGAACCAAAACCAGGCTTCTCTCTTCCCTGAACCCCCAAATATATTAACTGGCACAAGCAAAATCAACAGGTTTTGCAGTATTCAGTCAGCAAGATCTGATGGTTTTGTTTCAAACATATTAACACCTGTAACATCAGGTATAGAGGAACAGCCCTGCTTTTGTAACCAACTACAAAGGAAAACCCACAGGAGAGCTCTGGGAGCTCATCTTGGGGTCACATTTGCCAAGCTGTTCATGGCCCAGCTGTCCCTGTGGATGCAGATCCACAGGCCTGGATGTCTGTCTGTGGTCTAAATAACCTGCATCCGATTTCCTGGGTCTGGAACAGGGACTGTTGCTCTCTGAATATCTCAGGTTTCCTTATTTAGGCTCCTGTTCCTCCCCAAACCTGAGGATATGCAAACATAAACAGACCAAGAAACACCATTCTCCAACTACCCTGAACATCTATAAAAGTTCACCTCCAGCTCAAATTCTGATCCAGGGCTTTATCCAAAGTGGTTCTGCTCATCACTGCAGGTCACAGGAATCAGCTGAGCACCAACCTGCACTCACTCACCATAAATGTCTTGTCTTTTGGGACTGCCAGGATCACACGTAATGACAAACACCCAGAGATAAAACACCCAGAGATAACTATTCCCAGAAGACATGTGGGACAATGCCAAGAAAAGAGTCATAAATTAAAGGTACTAAAAGAAAAAGAATCGAGAGAAGGAAACGAAAAGTAAGAAAGCTCGTTTGAGCTGTTCTGTACTACTGGTACCTCACCAGCACTCAGGTGGGCTTCAGACCATCAGGATCTGCCCAGAAACATCAGTGCAGCCTCCTGCAACATCCCCCACTTCCCTGCTCTCATTAGACTGTTTAGCCCGGAGCAGACAAAGCTGAGGGTGGGGAAGGGTGTCAGTGTTATCAGTGTAACTTTGCTGATAGCACAGGGGCAGGGCCGGGCCAGGCTCCTCTCGCTGCTGCCCAGTGAGGGAGGCAGAGGGCACCGACTGAAATCCAGCAAATTCCATCTAAACAGAAGAAAGAAACCCTTTTACTGTGAGGGAGGGCAAACACTGATGGCCAGAGAGGCTGTGGGTTCCCACCCTGGAGATACTCAAACCCCACCAGGACACAGTCCTGCTGCCCTTGGCCCTGCTCTGAGCAGGGGCTCGGCCTCGATGAGCTCCAGAGGTCACTCCCAAGCTCAGTTACTCTGTGATTCCATAATTTCCTGAAGCATTAAGTGCCTGATTGCCTCCAGCCCGACACACTGTTCCCCTGGCCTTTCTTTTCTTCTCTTTTCTTTTTTGGAGCATTGCTGTCCACTATAACTCCAACAGGAATTTCTTTGCTTTCCCTCACATGGCAGATTTAACCCTTCCACAAAAATAAAAAATAAAGAAGTGTTTCTTTTGCAACCCAAGGTTCAACCCTCACTTGACTTCAGCAGCTCTGAACACCTGCACTTTGTGCTCCTTTCCTGCTTGGTCCCAGACTGCCCACGCCAGATGAAGCTCAGCAAGTCAAAATGACTTGTGGGCGCCATAATCCCAATTTTATGGACAATAAACCCATCAAGAACAAGGTGGAAGAAGGAGGGAACACTGAATAGGGTATTTTCTCACGCTCTCCTATCATCACTCAGATAGGTTCCAGATCATGACAAACTATCTGTCCAGTGGCAACAGCTCCCCAGTCCTACGGTGATTTCTTCACACAGCAGACCACAATGTGTCTTACAAGCTTCAACTCCTGTAACCACAAATAAAACACATGAGCAGCCACCTTGGGTTAATCCTACAGCCTCATTCTGGTGGTGGAAAGTGGGTTCTGTGGAGAGTCAGAGCAACAGGACAATGAAGAACCACAATTGTAAGCCCTGTGTGAGCTTGGGAGAAGGTCTCAGAAGATTAAGAGAGATCTGCATGTCTAATTGACACGGATTTCCTACTCCAAGGCAATTTCGTATTCCCTTTGGACTACAGGTGTTTTGATTTGGGTTTAGAGCATTAAATTAGAGGCAGCAGCAGGCAGATGATGCAACACATCCACGAAGTGATAGTAGTTGCCCTGCTGTGGGAGTTTTCCTGCTCAGCACACTCGTGGGAAGACACTCCTCCTCCTTCCTTAAATTTACTCAGCTCTGTTTCCACCTCACCGTGCCAGTGACTCAGCCCAGACTTTAATAAGATTTAGGGACGCAATTAAGCAATGATAGACCAGGGGAGAGCACAGGAAAATGATAGAGCTTTTGACTTTCCCTTCTGTGGAGGGAAGGCCGAGGGCTGGAGCCGGGCCCCAGACAGTGTTTTGCCTGCAGAGAAGCGCTCCAGGTGCCTCCCAGCGCCCGACGCGACCCGAGCCAGCGAAGCCTCCACGCGTGGCTGGGCAAGGCCTTTCTGGGATTAAAGCTCATCCCTGTGTCCCAGGAGGATCTCAGAACAGGCACCAGCCTTCCCTCCCCCAGACAGCCCCTCTGGAGGGTGCTGGCCATTCGGGATGGCTGTGTGATTGCACGGAGTGTGCCAGCACCGGGTATTTCTTAAGCACATTCTGTATTTTCAGGACTGAACAAACGTGGTGCCAACCTCCCAGAGTGTCTCACCAGCCGAGCCAGACTCTGTTAGTGCTGATGCAGAGCTTGGAACTCGACAAGGGCAGCACCCAGCCAGGAGTGCTGATCAAGATGGGCATGGATTCAGGGCTCCCTGGGGAACCCAGAGGGAGCAGTGCCTGGTTCCTGCAGCCCTCTCCAGGCCACTTCCACCAGGCCTGCTGTCTAAGGACCTGACAAAGACACCAAGGCAGTTCTGGGACTTTTGGGGGCACTGGGCCTTAAAAGAGGACCTCTAAGAGCAATTGGGAGGATAAAAGGGCTTTGGGTGTGGAGTGTTAGAGATAGGGAGGACACATCAAGTAAATGGGAATAGGAACGTGGCTGACCTCATCCCCTCCCAGGGTCAGAGGGTTTCCAGGGTACTGCTGACATTTGTAATGACCATTTCACAAGCACTGAATATAACAGACCTAATTCGGAGGCTTTTGGAATGCAAATCCGCATTTAATGGCCTGAGTTATCTCTGTTTTAAGGGAAATACTTTAGGAAAGGCAAATTTTCCTGGAAGTGTGTGGTTCACACTTAGAGCAGGGGGTAGGTGGTACAGATGAGGCACAACCAGATAGGTTTTGTGTTCTTGACCAAAGCTACAACAAATCAGAGCCTGCAGGATTCAACGTGGGTTCTTCACCTATTTACTGCTGCCTGAATACAGAGTAAGAAACACTGTTCATAAGCTAAACCACGATGAACTCACGGTTTCAAAGCCAAAAGACATTAGAGCTTCCCTGGGAGAGGCCCATTTTCCAGTCACCAAAACAAAACATCGTGATTTGGTTTCAAAGCAGGTGTAAAATGTAGAGTTGGCCTGTGCAGAGCTACAGGAGCAAAACCACAGGTTCTCAGCTCACCCAGCCTTGCCTCAGTAAAGCCAGTGCACATTTTAAAGCACTGAGTGTGTGCTGCAATACCTCTGGCCAACCTAACCACGTACTTGAAAAGCACGTGCATTTTTAAAGGTTTTTTTTTTCCTTCTCCTACCTCTTGCCACCTTCCCCCTCCTCCTTAGGAAGGCATTTTCCTTCCCAGACTGTGCTTCCCCTGGTGCTTCCAGGACCAGCTCTCCCAGGAGGAGGTAACCAAGCAGGAGGACAGCCAAGCCCTGGCCTTCTAACCATGAAAGGCCTCCCACCGCCAGGCTCTTCCTCATGCCTGCAGCCACATCCACCCCCCTTCAAACGACGCAGCAGGGCGGCAGAGGAGCGGTGCACACACCTGTCTGCTCAGAGACATGAGAAAAGATTAGGTGGGGAGGAGTTTATTCTGAGGTCTCCCGTGATTACATCTTACACTGCAACCCCAAGGTGTGACTGGCACTTCACACCCTGAGCCCTGAGCTTCAAAGGAGCTGCCCTCAGCTCAGCCACCCACTGCTGTTCAACCCCGGCGTCACCGTTTGGGCCCCGTTTAAACACCCAGCCACACAAAACCACCGTGGTGGCCCCGCTTGATGTTTGGAGCTCAAGATACATTCCCACTGCTGCCAGAACTAGCGAGTCTAGAGGGATCTGAAGGAAGCACCACCTCCTTTGGATTGCCATGAAAGCAATCCCCTGCCTGCTCGTGGATTATTGATAAACGTGAGGTGACGTCTGGCCTGCAGACACCGCCAGGAGCTTCCTCGGGACACAAACACCGACTTTCCCTCTGCAAAACTCGTTTCCACTGTTGCATGGCACGACAACAGGCACTGGGGAAACAGCCTTGGGTTTTGAAACAGCGCTGCAGGATTGAAAAGAGACAAACAAAAACAGACCCGGCAATTAGAGAAATCAAAACAAGGGTTTCCTAAGACCTGCTCACGAAACTTGTGACCTAGAAAGCACTGCAGAGCATCGGCCAACACCCACAGCACGGGGTTTAGGAAGGGGTTT